GATCATGCATTAACTCCTCTTTCTTTGACTTTAATTCTTGAATAACAGCTTTTTTTTTAGCAAGCTCAATCATAACCGGCATTTTACTTTCCATCTCCCAAAAGAGATGTTTATGAGCCTTTATTTTTTCCCGATATTCATTATTTCTTGCAAATGTCATCTCAAACTCTTCTTGTACTGTTTCTGCATCAAGCCTCAGCTTTAAATTTTCAGAATATAGGGCTCTAACTTCAGCCTCCAGATTTTCACAGTGGTGTTTTGTCATTTCTATGGCATCATCTCGCAGATATATTTCTCTTTCTGTTGTCCTTGTTTCTAACAGAATAGAACCCATTTCTTTTTCTAGTTCCTGGAACTTTGCCTGTAACATATTTCAGTTTCTTTTTTTAGTTAAACACTATAATTCATATTTATTCTAAACAGTCTTCTTTTCCACTTGTTTAACATGGCTTGAACGGAAGACAGAATTCCATCTCCTAAAATCGTCACCTTAGAGGCACAATGCAAGAATATTGTCTTAGATTTCTCCCCTTAGATTGAGTTTAAATATGAAATAAAGTACCCTAGAAATTAATCTGAATTTCTTGTATTTGCAAAATACATAGGACGTGACAGATCAAACTCAGTCCTGATGCTTGTTTATAGCTGAAATCTGATTAAGTTCTAATCAACCAAAAGTAACTAACCATGTCAAAAAATTACCAACAAAACCAAACAAGCACACAGATGGGTGTTTGGGGTGATGGAGCTTCCTAGCCTGTTCTGCTGAAGTTTTTAATCCCACCTTTGTCACAGTAATACTTTATTGTTGGATTAATCACAGCTAGTTTTATCCATCCTCCCCCTTCTCCCTCCCCTCCAAGAAATATGCATCTAGTCCTAAAAATGCCTCTGTATCTTCTCACTGATGAGAACTGAACGACTCCAGGAAGCAGTACTTGAACCTATCATAAGAAATCATAGACTCATAAAATCATTTAGGTTGGAAAAGACCTTTAAGATCATCAAGTCCAACTGTTAACCTAACACTGCCAAGTCCACCACTAAACCATGTCTCTAAGTGCCACATTTACATGTACAACTGAGATGGGAGGCTTCAACTGCTCCCTCAGAAAAGTTTTTTCCCTCTTTGATGAGTACCAAGGGAGCCTAGATGACTAACACAGGCTTAGTATCTGACCTGTAGGTGATGTAAGATAGCTAGAATGAATCCCACCCAACATGAGAGCCAACAGTAGTGCATTAAATGAGAGAATTAGCATCTTGATTTATGTCACCTATTATCTTCTCCCTAATGGAACCATTATGAGTGCTGTGAAATCTCTTACTCAATGTCTTGAACAGATTAAGACATTATTAACTGTTGAGAACAAAAAGTTTCTGTGTAACTTTTAATTTGGAAATCTTGGGCTATAATTTTAGCAGTATTTCAATCACTGCCAGCTACTATTTACTGTGGACAGGAAAGAGAAAGATGTTAATAGCAAAGATCTTCAGTTTTGGAAAGGAAATTACTGTTTTGCATGTCTTCCATGGCATGCACACAACAAAATAGGTGTAAATATAAAAAAAAAAACAGTTCTGCATTTTGACTTTAAGTTGCTAATTACTTAACTTTGTTGTTTGTATGGAATTTCCTAGGGTTTGGGCTTTTTTGAAAGAAGTCTGTGGAAGACAAAGCACATAAATGAGCTAAATTACCTGGGCTCTAAAGTCCTGTGGGATTTTTCTGAGAATAGATACCTTTGTTTAAATTGTTTGATCATAACTAAACTGTTTCAGCATCATCATACTGTACCAGAGGATGGTATATACTTAGGAGAAAGCTTCTTGCGAAGTTTGGCCAGTCAATTGACAATCCTAAGCAGTTTTCATTGCTCCTTCAGAGAAGCTGTATCTTCATGCAAAATTTCAAACATCAAGTGTTTCAGTTGGAAGGCTATTTACAGGTGTTATAATTGGGACTCTACTATTTCCATCTGCATTCTCATGCTCAAAAATGCCTGAATACTATTGGGTCTTCCTTCGGACTTAAAGGTACGTTTCTCAATGAAAATTTGATCTCAAAGGTTAAATAATTGAAAGCTTAATTGATTCTGTGAAAGATTAGAATAGAAATGATTACAGTCTCCACAAAACCTACATGTATCCAGTGATCTACAAAATACTACTAAATAAAACCAGTATTTAATGACTATCTAAGATGCTTACTTCAAATGCACAGAAAAAAGTATTTTGTATTAAAAGTATGCTAAGAAAAAATAGCAAAGTCTGGTGAAAATCTGCCAAAAAAACCCCACACCCACCTGCTTTTAATATCATTCCCCCCTCCCCCCTTAATTTCTTAGGAAATCACAATAAAAATTTCAAAAAGCCCTAGCTTTGTACTGAGTTTCTCTGGGTTTGCTTTGTAGGTGTTGCTCAGTGTTTTTGCGGGTGTTGCTTCATTTTGGTTTTATTTTTTTCCAAAAAGCTTCTGTTAAAAGCAGCAATAATGAAATCTTACTTGTGTTGCAACTTTGCTACTAACATCAGACATACAGAGTTTTGGCTAGGCCTAAATACCACACACGGGAACAGAATAGCTGCCTTACGTTTAAACGCAAACACCGAGAAAAAAAAAAAAACAAAATACCTTCAGATTCTTTTTTCATACAAACACTTCCTCATTTAATGAAAAAAATGAAATTAATTAGGCTACTCTAAGCAAGGTTTATTACCTGTAATTGGAAAAGAACTGTTTTGGCTTTTTCTGTCTCTATCACCTGGGAATGCTGCTGCTCTGCAACTTGTTTTACAACTTGAATTAGTGAAGGAGAATTTTGCTTGGCCATTTTAGGCAAAAGTGCAGGACATGAAAAAAGTGAATTGTTTTATCTTGATTTATTTAATTCCTGTTAATGAAAGAGAATAAAATGAAGGGCTTTTCTATGGAATACCAGATCAATACATTACTTCATTTGGTTCGTTTTTTATTAACAAGAACAGGTTACTAATGGGCAGCTGCTCTAAGGCAGTGGTTGAGAATTAGAACTTCCTTGATGAATTTTATAAAAATAACAATTGCAATGTTCTTCTGGCTTGTCTTCAGGACAGATTCTCAGTTTGTGAGTACAGCCATAGCTTTTTAAAGCACCTTAAGAGCATCTTAAAAGCACGAGAGCATGCTCTCACATTTAGCCCGAATATTTAAACTATTGCGGCTACCATACTGCAACTGCCTGCTGTATTATTAAACTATCCTTAAGATAAACAACAAATCGAGAAAGCTCTCACATGGAAAGTCACAAACTAGTATCATTGTAGAGACGCTCCCCAGCGATAAGAAAATATTTAGCATCATTCTTTTATCTTTTTGAATAATTAAGAAATTCTTTATTAATATAAAAGTAAAATCTGTAATAGTATACAAAGTGACAGCCAACTCTCAAGAAAATGCACTGAGTCGGCACAAGTACATCTTCAGGGCCAATATATTAAACGGTGCTCAGATGGCCCACAGACTCTGCCTGAAGGTTGCTAGTCCTGACTGAAACGCGGACACTGCAGCGCCAGGCGCTCCGGCACGACAAGGCCACCTCGTTCTGCAGCGTGGCGAGGAGGGCGATGAAGGTAAGCAGCGACAGGCTCCCGCTCACAGCCACAGCCGCCCCGCCTCAGAGCCCTCCCGCCGCCGGCCAGGGAGCGTCGGCCAAGGGCCTCCCCCACTGCGGGGCGTTGGGGGCTGAGGGAGTGTCGGAGAACAGCAGCGACTGCGGACGCGGCGTGAGGGGAGCTAGGATGTTAGCGGCTGCCAATGGCGCTGAGAGGCGGGAGAGGTGCGGGAGGAAGGGGTCGTTCGTGGTAGGAGACGGGAAAAGAACGGAGGGAAGAACTCACACTGTCAGGAACGGGTGGGTGCGCCGCAGCGGGGCCTGTAGCGGCAGAGCAGCCTGGCTCTGTCTGTGGCTGAGGCAGTTTTGCTTAGCGTCATTTAGCTTCCAAGTTCCCGAAGATACCTAATTCATTGTATTAACTGCATTTTCTGTCATAATTTGCTAGTATTTGATATAATCTCTGCATACAATCTGTTTATTTCATCCCTGTTTTGAAATGACAGGAGCTGAGTATACTACTTCAGCTGGAGACGTTTCAATACTGTTCTGTATGATGGATATTTTCTGACCTTTTCTGTACCCTTTCTCAGCATTCTGCACCAAAAATAACCCCAGTAATATTTTTCCTTCTTTAGCCTGGTTGAAGGGAAGAAAATGACTGTGTTGATCTCTCTTCATCAAGTCCCCTGTTAATTTTTAAAGATCTACTTCAGCCGTGTTAGACAGTGGCATGGAAAGCCTCAAAAAGAAGTGATTTCTGCAAGTTTCATCAAAATAGGTGCCTGTGTGGGGAAGGACAGGACACTGACATCTCTTCCCTTTGGGAGGAGCAGCCAGGAGGATTTAGCTCTCATCCCTCTGCCCAGTGACTGGTGGAAGGGAAAGCAGGAGGAGTGCCAAGGTGTGTTTTGGACCTGGCAGAAATGTAGGTTTGCTGCAGGAAGAGGAGACAGAGAACGGCAATTCACAGAAAATCACATTTTATGTATTATCCTCTGTTAATGGAAAAAAAAAAAACGCCTTTTATTTTTTCTCCCTTTCTTCAGTTGTCATACACTTATCTGTCATGACTACGATTTTATCACAGCTGAGAAGATGTATTTATTATCATTGGATTCTTGGACAAAGCCTCATATAAATCCCTCAAAACCTCCCCCACCCCCCCGCCCCCCTTGCCCTTTGACCATTGGCCTGTCAAAACATTCAGACTTTTTTTTCAGAAGCCTGCAGAATTTATGGCTGCTCCCAGGGGGAACTGGAATCCCTGGTTTGGGCCTGTGGCCCTGAACACTGGCCTCGTAGCCTCTTTATCAGGATTCTTCCTTCTGAATATGCTTTTTCTTGACTGACTGCCAAATTCTGCACTGGAGCATGCGGTTACAGCTCAGAAAAGGAAACTCAGTCTGCAGAAGTTTAACTTCTTTGTGTTCTCACTCTGTTTTGCTATGCTGTATGTTTCTGAATCTGTTTGAGATTGTGCAAAGCTGATGCGTTGGAATGTATGATGACGGCAGTGAGTTACATGGCAGGGTTAATGATGCTTCCGGGTTTAACACTGCCCAGGCACTTAATCATAATGGTGCCTTTCAGTACAGTCTGTTATTTCCTGTTGATACTGACAGCAGCAAAGGAGGGTCTTGTCATAAAGCAGAAATACAGGTTCCCACTACAATCTTACCTAGAATAGGAATTTCCATCTTGTACAAATCAAGACTGACAGTGAGAAGTGTGATATATAACGCTGGTGGTGTGTGCTTATATCAGATGAGATCTTTCGAGAGTTTAAGAGGATTGTGCTCCTCCGTAAGTAAATTCCTGTGTTGTAAACTTTGAGTTTGTTTATGAAAACTGCATGTACTTCAGTATTTTCATTGTAAGTACCCAGTTCTGTTTCTTCAACCTTGCCTGAATACATCTAAGTTAAGAGAGACTGAACGTTTAATTTTAATCCTGTTTAAGACATTTTTACTTATTTCTTTTTCCTCCCATTTTTTTGTGTTTGCTGAAATTTTGTTACAAATGTGCTCTTATCCCTGCACATTTGGTCTGCTTTAATGATCTCTTTTCTTTCTCTGGGCATCTCTCTCTGGCAGATGTGAATTATTTCTTGTTCTTCTGAGTATCTGTAAGGTAACAATAGGATTCAAAGGTGCAGGAAATTGCCAGCAGTCTTGTGACCAGCGGGAAGGTTTTAGAATTAGATTTCCAGGGTATTTGAAAGTCACTTTTTGGATCTTTTTTCTGTCCTTGGCTGTCTCTTCTCTGCAGCCTGGTTTTATTTCTTTGTTCTTTTCCATATTCACTTTGCTTTTCTCCTTTTCACTATTGTTGCCTTCCTCACTTCTCTCTTCTCATTAACTATCATTTTTTTTTAATTCTCTTTTTCTTGATGTCTGTGCAAGAGAATCTTTTTACCCTTCAAATATTTGTACTGACAGAGTTTCAGGGAGTGAGTGAAACAGCTAATGGGTGGTCTTGGCTTCAAGTTTGTGCAAGTATTTGTTTTGCATTGTGTACTGAAATGAGCAAATGCACATAATCATTTCTGATGTGGGTACGTGCAGTGAGACTTCCCATGGAACACTGGGACTGTAGAGCATGTTACTTTAAACCTGAATAACTGTGAATGCATTTCTCATAAGCTAAAACACTGCTGTGCCTGGCAATCCTCTGCTTTGAGGAGTGGTTTGTTGGGGAACTTAGAAAGCAGTCAAACAGTTTTATTATGAGTGTAAGCAGTTTTACTTCTGACACCACTGACCTCACTAGAACTCTGTGATGCAAAACTGAAAGGTGAATCAGTCCCATTGTTTCTTTGTGTACATCCCAATAATTGCCCCGGTGGACTTTTTGCAATACACACACAGCTCAATAACAGAAGCAATTGCCTCTCCCTCTGCAAACACTTTCCTTCCACCCTTTCTTTGGTGGTACTTTTCTGGGCAAGTATGAGGACAGCAATGAAATATACTTCCCTTCCACTATTGACATATCTGAAGTGGAGGAATAATCTGTTTGTCTACTACAGCCCTCTGTTGTACTGTCTTTGCTGGGGCTAGTAGCTATGCCTGGATAGGGATCATGTCATACTCATACAGGTCTCCCACAGAGGGTGTCAGGGTAGGGAAGGAAATACCCTGATTTCCCAAGTCACAGTCATAGAATCATAGAATCATAGAATAGTTAGGGTTGGAAAGGACCTTAAGATCATGTAGTTCCAACCCCCCTGCCATGGGCAGGGACACCTTACACTAAAACATATCACCCAAGGCCTCGTCCAACCTGGTCTTTGACATGAGTCTGTTTTGACAATGTTTTCATAGCAAGCTCTTGTCTCTAAAATCTATTGTCAATCAGCCGTATGTAAATTGTACTCTGAGCAAAATCAGGAAACAAAATCCTTGGCAGATGCTTTTATCTGCTGTCACATTTTGATACTTTCAGTTCACCTGTTTTGATAGTCACTAATTAATCTCTGTAAGTGTTCAACTTGCAGAAAGCAAAACATCATTCAGGAATATTTTTCTTCCAGTCTAGGGGAAAGAATAATTAAGAAAATAGAGAATGTTTTCTGTAAAACCTACTCTGAATAAAAAATCCATTAAAACCTGAAAGGTCTTTGATCTCTCATTTGAGTGTAGAAACTGGGAATCCATTGTCAGCCATAAAATGCCAAGAAGGACAGCAAGTCCACCATAGCGGTAGGCCTCAAGTACACACAGAAGCAGTACTTTTGCAGGGTAGTGAAGTGGTGGGAGGCCAGACCATGTATGTAGTTACAGGCAAATGAGGACTTGGAACAGGAACATAATGCAGGCAGGCATTCTCTGGTGTGGTTATCTCTGGTAGCAGAGCATGATTTCAAAGGCTTAAAAGATTCTTGAGCCCTTTGTTGTTGCAAAGATATTAATCTTCCTGCAAAGAAATCAGTATTCATGCACAATTTGCTACTGTACAAAAAAATTGTGGTGTTAAATACTCTTAAATATTTATGGGGTCTTACAACTGGTAATAAATCTGCATGTATTCCTTCTAGATCAAGCACTGTGCTTAGTCATGAAATACAAGTTTTCTGTTCAAGCTTCCCAAAGCAGAGAGATCTAGGCTTTTGTTCTAGAACTCTGGAGGCTTGCACTGGAAACTGAAAAATTATTGGAGAAAATATTATAAAACACTTGTGAAAGGATATGTAAAATAGGCTCTCATAGTGACAGAGAGAGGAAGAGACGGATGAGTTTCCACAGGCAGGCCTAGCTGGGCTTGGATCAACAAAGTTCAGAAAAGGGAAAAAGTTCCACCAAAACTGGAATTACACTATGGGCCACAAGAAAAGCCCTGAACTATGGAATTATTTTGGATAAGCTTAACATGTCTTGATTTTGGAATAGAGAGTGCAGCTAGTGTAATGAAAATACTGAGGCAGGAAGTTGAGCACATTATATTATTTTCATTATATATGCATATTAGACATATATCATGCATATTATATACGCATATTATATATAGTGTATGTAATATTCAATGTATGCATGTTATATTATTTTCATGTAGTTATGTATACTTCTTGCATTAGTAAGTAAAGTTTCAGTAACCTGTGCTGACTTCATGTTTGCATGTTGAAAAGAACTATACCAGTCATATGCCCCACCACACAGAAGTCAGAAATTAGCAAGTCAATACTTTTGATATCAGAAAAGGGGTAAGTTAAAAGAGTCTTGTCAAGCCCTGTGGGAAAGATGTCCTTTCACTCACAGCCCACAGCCCCTGTTACCAGGAGGGGTAGCAGACATAGGCTCCACCTCAGCCATAAGTTTGTAAAATGCCTCCAAAAAAATTGTTACAGAAGCTTCTCTAGTCCCAGCAAGCTGAGGGACCTCTGTATATGGTTCCTCTCATGGGAACTTGAGGAGGGCCCAACAGTCAGAGGTCAAGAAGACCCATTAGGCTAATGTGGATTAATTGTTTCAATAAATCTAATATTATGTATCATCCCAGACCTGGAAAAAGCCTGAATTAGGAAGGGCGAAAGGGAAATATCTAAATACCTTAATACATACATAGTAATTCCCATTTCCGCTACTTTTCTCTTGCTGCAGTTTCTTTTGATGCAGTGAGGAAATCCTAAGACAGTAATTACTGCTGTGCTATCTTCTCTATATAGTATCACTGAATGATTTGCCTTAATAACATAATTCTGGGTTGGACTAATGATGATGTCTTGCCTTTTTCTTTGTTTTTCATGTTTTGTTACTGACTACTTGACAGTTGTGAGAATCTTAAAGTATTCTGCAGTATGGTGGAAGCAGTACTGGTAGATCTGTTCAGCCTACCAGCCAACTTGCAGAACAACATCCAAGAACTGCTATGTAACACAGTGGAAACTATTGAGAAATGTTCTTCCATCCCTGCTCCATTTGTTTATGTCATGTGTTGCCAGAGTCAAGGAAGTGAATGGAATGGTGCAAAAGAGTCCTTGCTTCCAGCTCTGAGTGGTTTTCAGAGTCTGAAGAAAAGACTGGAGATGGTACATGCCCCGAATACAGCTGCTGCTTTGTACACCATCAAACAAAGCCTGGATGAAAAAAACCTAAGCATTATTAAAGTTATTCTACCTACCTTAAGAAAAGACTTAATGAGAATATATATAGATCATCTTTTTACAGCAGTCTACCAGTTTGAATTTGAGGATTTACAGATCGCGTATGATTGTGAAAACCTGAAGATGGCTAAAACTCAGAGTGAAAGTCAAACACTTCCTATACAGGACATGGCACTCATCCAAAGCGAGATTCAGATGTACTTGGAAAGCCTGCCGAGCCTCAAAGGGGAGCTTACCATTCTCAGATCTTCTCTCATCCCAGGTAAAGAGGATCCCAGTTAACAGATTTTAGAGAGACTAGTTTCCAAGCATACTTCTTCAAGGGAATTGCAAAATGGGTAAGATTTGGAATTGTCTTCAGGCAGCAGATAACTCTAGGTGATGTTGTAGTAGTATATCTTGCCTGTAAGAGGGGGAAGTGTCAATAGAGATTCAGCAGAAGACTGGCAAGGCCTGGGGCATGATCAGAGGAAAGAGAGGTTACTACAGATGGTAAAATCTCCTTCCTTCTGTGTGAGAATTAGACACTTTAGAGAGCTGCCATCATCTTCTGGAAAGGCTGGACAGGAGTTTCTCCTGGTCTGCAGCCTCAAGCATGCTTTGTTAATCAGACTGGTGTCTCAGTGTCCCTGCCATGGTATGACTTTTTACTACAGTATGTCTCTGAAGTGGTGTGATTTTCAGGTCTCATACTTTAGAGTAATCAGGGGAAAGCTGAGGTTTGCTACTGCAAAAATTTGGAACTGTCTTTCCCCAGAAATATGTCTGAAATCATCCAGAGCATGAAAGGAACATGAGTTACCTAAAAGCATCTCTGCCTTCATTGTGCTTCAAGGTTTTCACTGTGACTTTGAAAAGATCATACTACGTAAGAGATTTTTAATCTTAACTCTAGTTATGTCACTTGTCAGCTGTTAAGATAGCAAAAATACCAGTTGTGGGACTATATTCTGTGTTCAAATTGGACACACAAATCCCCACCTCCCCATCACTCTGCACATCAGGGTTTGCGTTTGGTACATGAAGCCACACTAAATAATCCACATGGTAAAAACAGGATTTTTCAATAATACTAGAAATTCTTGCTGGTTTTACTGTGCCTTAGAAAGAAGCTTGAGATTCTGTGAAGTCTTGAGGACTAGTACTTCATTTGCCAAAAAAGTTGGGAGATTCCACCTTAGAACATTTTTTTAAAAATCTCTCATTTTCCTTAGTGAGTTACCCCTTCTCTGGGGTTTTGCACTACAACTCTGCAAAAAGTCAGGCTAAATCTGCCAGGATTCATTCTTGCTCAAACCCCTCTAATCTGGGCTCAGAGGATTATGGTTATGAGCAAAAAGAAAACTTAGAATCCTTAAATTTAAATGCCATACCTAAATACAACATAATGCAATGCTCAACTGGCTGATTTCAAGTCTGTTCAGTATAAACCCATATCTAGAGTGGTCTTGTGTTGAAAGTAATTTTTTGTTGTCCTTTTTCCCTTGCCAGATGATATCTTCCTACATGGATTTACCACAAGGGCAGGTGGGATCTCCTACATACCAACTCTAAGCTCCTGCAATCTCTTCAGCAGTTCCAAGCGGAGGGACCCACAAGTTGTTGTTAAAGAAAATCTTCGCCGGCTAGCTAATGCTGCAGGATTTAACCCAGAGACTTTTCACAGAGTCAAGGTATCTTATCAAACAATGCATTTCTGTAAATAGATCATATCTTCCTTCATGTATCACTGGCTGAAACTGTAGGCATTATTCTTATCTTTCTCAGCAAGAACTCGTGAGAAGCAGGACAACTAAAATATCTACGCTGGCAGTTTCTGTGGGAATAGCCATCCAAACATCAGCCATTTGGCACTATATGGAGAAGCAGCACTGTTTCTTCCAAGTACATTCTAACATTTATCTTACCACAGACTAGAAAAATCAGATAAATGATCAGAGCAGTTTTTCTCTTGAAAGAAAAATGCATCGCTCCTATATAGAGCTGCATGACATTTGAACAAAGGAGTGCTTGATTTCCACACGTAATCTGTTGGTGCAGAAATGTCTCATGCCAAAGAAAAATCTTTGCATTAGTCAGAACTGCAGGGTGGGTCTTTTTGCTGACATATCACTATCCATGTTCTGGTTTTGCCTTGACAGGTTGATCATGCTAATGCTGTGTGCGTTATGGGAAAGACCGAACCTGACAGCTATGATGGAATAGTTACGAATCAGAAAGGTGTTACAATAGCAGCTCCAGGTGCTGATTGCATACCTGTGCTCTTCGCTGATCCTGTCAGAAAAGCCTGCGGTGCTGCTCATTCTGGTAGGAATTTTAAATCACAGAGATCAAAATAACTGGGAGACCACTGGAAGAAAGGGAGTTATGGACTAAGGAATACAAATCAGCAATGAAAGGAGCACTGAGTGAGAACGAATAAATGCAAGATCACATAGCAGTGTAGACCCTGACCTGCTAAACCTGGACCCTGCCAAAACAAGATTAGACTTGACAATAGTTTGTTTCCCAAGCTATGCATTTTTAAAGTATTTTATAACTGTAATAATTATTATTTATATATTTATACATTTGTTTTTCTGGTGCAGTAGCCAAAACCAACTAATTTTCTTTGTGACCTATCTTACTTCCTACATAAAAAATGGCTCTCAAGCAAATGCCCCCAATAATCATTTTGGCTCAGAATAAATTCTTGTCTGTAAAACCTAATGAGAGTATAACTAAAGCAAAGATGGTTAGCACAACCTGGGGCTATGTCTGATTTCAGAAGATGTCCCAGCTGTTGGGCGAGAACACATATCCTATGGGGAGATTTTCCTGTTGGGGCTATTTCATTTCATAAAGTCTGTATTTATAAGGTGAAGGAGACTGCACAGCTGAGAGTTTCTCCTCAGCTTTGATGCCAGTACACCCCTTGATATGGCAGGAAGCTTCATCTCTGCCTAGAATTTGTGAATACCACCTAATTCATACAATTCTTCATGCATTCAGTAAATAGCCAAATTAAATTCAAACTTGTGAGCCATCATCATTAGATGATCAAAACTTTGACTTCAGTAAAGAGTGTATGTGTGTGTGTGTGTGTGTGTGTGTGTGTGTGTGTGTGTGTCACCTGTTGCCTAGCAAGCTTAGGTTAGAAAAGGTGAGAGGACTGAGAATTGTGGCCTGTGTCTGGGAGGAGAGGGGCTTTTGTAGTTTTTAATGGGGAGAAGGGATGAAAAGAATTTTATCTGCTCTTGAAAGTTTTAAGTTTTACTTTGCAAGTGTTCAAACCTAATTATTGTTAAATACTGTAGTCTGTAGTTGCTCCTTTCTCTGCTGCCTCTTCATTTGCCTAGTCCCTGACACACTACATTGTTTCCCCAGCCCACACCACGGCCTTCTCCAAGCATACCTCCCACATCTAGCCTGAATTCCTGCCTTGCATCTCTCAAGTTTTGGCCTCCATTCCCACATTACAGTCCTTGCCAGGCTTCCAATTATCTTAAGTCCTTTCCTGCCTTTCCAACCCCACCTCAGTTCATGTTTAACTTGAACATGTTGCTATGTATACAAATCAAAGACAATTAGGTATAAGGCCACTTTGGATGTGGAAAAGCAGAGGAAAAGTAATTAGCATATGCTATCCTTCGTTATGACACACTCCCTGTGCAATGCAAAGCTTCCTGGGAATCAAACTGAGATACAAGAACTCAAAGCTGGGCTTTCTTCTATCCCAAACAGTACCATAGTGCATAGCTGGGCTGTCTTCTGTCTATGCCAAACTATCTCTAGCTTAAGCCTCTTGTTTTTTTTTCTCTAAAATAACACTAAAACCATTTTCACCCTATCACCATAAGAATAAGCTTCTGACTGTAACATATTTCTGTTGTCATATTCCCATTAAAATGTTTCAAGCACAGAAGAACTGTAAATTACTTTCCAATAGCCCAAACCAGGACACTGGGAAAATGGAATTCTGGAATCCTAATCTAAATTCTTCTCTCTAGTTTCCATCTCCATTAAATTATATCAGCAGTTAATGTGTTGTAGTTTTTTAAAAAATAATTATTTGTTGTTAGATATATTTATTTCAGATGCAAAGACATCTATTGGTTTCTACCTTTAATAATATAAAATTAAAGAGACAATTTATACAATTTTTTCCTCAACCTCTCATTTCTCACAGGATGGAAAGGCACATTGTTAGGAGTTTCTATGGCCACAGTAAATGCTATGGTATCTGCATATGGCTGTATCTTGAAAGATATCCTTGTGGTGCTGGGCCCGTCTGTAGGACCTTGCTGCTATAAACTTCCTCATGAGTCAGCGACAGAATTCCACAGAATTGATCCAAAGTGTGTGAGACAGTTTGACTCTGCAAATCCTTATATTGATATTAGAAGAGCAACACGGTAAGCCTACTGCATGAACTAAGACTAATTCCACATTAGTTATCAATAACTATTTTGATGTTGTATTATCCAGCACTATTATGGTGAGGGTCCTCACCATCTTAAAGTACTCCCTAGTATTTTGCAGATCAACAAATGATACTTGTGAATGAATGGTATCTCCTCTCTTTTGCTGGTTTTCAACCATTATTTTGCTTTTTTACTGTTAGTTTATGGATTATAGACAAATATCTGAATTAATGTGTTTTATTGGCTGCAGAAAATCAATTATTCTAGTCTAATAGTGGAAAAAATAAAAAAAAATAAAGGCCAATCACAATATTAGCACAGTTTGTTCAATTGGTACTTGAAGTGCTGTCTGAATGACAGTGTCTTAAGGAACGTGACAATGTACAAAACACATTTTCTGTTTGTCTTTCTTCCTTCAAGGGTTCTTCTTGAGAGGGGTGGGATTCCTCCTGAGAACATCCAAGATGATTCTGTCACAGACCAGAACCAAAATATCACTTTCTGTACTGCATGCCACCCTGATAAATTTTACTCTCACTTTCGTGATGGGACTAACTTTGGGACACAGATTGGCTTCATATCAATCAAAGACTGAGATGGTAACTCTTGAATAGTATTTAGAAAATAAGTCTGGTGCATTGTCTGGCATCTCTCTCTTCTCATAGTTCTTCTTTTTTCCTTTCCCAGACCTGCAATGAGGAATAATGGGTCTTAAGATTCTCCTGCTTCTACTCTTCCCTGCCATTCTAAGGCAAGAATAAATGTCTGAGGTGTGGGGGCGCAATAATTCTTGTCTGAGACAGGGTGCAAAGGAAACAAGGGCAAAGCCCTTCTGCAAGGCCAGATGCAAGTTCCAATTTTTTTGAGCCTCCTTGACCAAATATTCCCCAGAAATCTCACTGACTTGGGTGGTGGAAGCACAAAAACCCAGTCTTCATTAGCTTTCAGGTGAGAGCCTGAAAAAAGTGACAGAACTATGACATACTGAAAGAATCATGACATTACTGATACAAGAAGGGAAGCCTATATTGCACATTAACTGTTAGAGAATACCCAACTTCAGTAGTTTCAGCAGAAGGTTATTATGGAATTATGTGCCTGGGCTTGTTTTGGTTTTTTTTTTGGGTTTTTTTTTATTTTTTTTTGGGGGGGGGGGGGGGGGGTGTGTTTTTTTTTTCCTTTGGATTAGTTTAAAGAAGACATCCAAAACACTTATATTATTTTTCCTACGGAAAATAACTTGAAAGTGAGAAGCAAGGAGATACTGGGGGAGGGGGAGATATTGAAAAAAATTAACCCCTACTATTTTGTATTTTTTGATTGTAGAAAAACTAGGACTAAGACTCTTACTATTATATGGTATGTATGTTCATGTTTCCTTAGGATTTTTTCATTTAAATTATTGGTGCTCTGCTAAAGTCTCCTGAGACAGTTTTAACAATGCCAAGTTATTTAATAAATATCTAAAAAGGGGAGTGGATTTAACTTCAGTTAATTTTCCTGACCAAGCAGCTGTTTTCTGGGAGCTGAAAAGCTAAGGCAAAACTTCATACTGCTGTAATGCTACAGCTTTGGAGTTACTAAACTGATAAAAATGTCCCATCATAAGAAATTACCCTGGTGCTGCTTGAACTCAGCCTGAACTGAAGGACTTCATCCCTGGCAGTGTTCAAGGCCAGGTTGGATGGTGCTTTGAGCTACCTGGTCTAGTGGAAGGTGTCCCTTCCCATGGTAGAGGGGTTGGAACTGGATGATCTTTAAGATTCCTTCCAACCCAAACCATTCTATGATTCTGCCTGTTTTACTAAGCAAATTCTAAGTTTTACTAAGCAAATTCTAAGTGTGCACTGTTTTCTTTTGACCACAAAAAAATTTCCTCTGGATGTTACAGTAGATGTGATAGTTCCTCATACATAGACAGTGAGAGATTCCTAACAGTAAACCAATGCTGACTGTAACTTGCAAGGTTGCCAAGCACAAGCCTTGGGATAACTGTCCGCATGACGTATTTTCTATTTTGAATTTAACGATCTTGCTCAGTTCTAGACTTCTATGTCCACTAGGGGTCAGTGCTGGCTCACGCTGCACTTCCAGCCCTGGCTGCACTGCACGTAGAGGTTTTCAAACCACCCATTTTGAAAAGCGCTGCACAGCGTATGCTGCTACTTTTGCCTATATGAACATCTGCCGAGTTATTCTGGCATCAATGCCTGAATCATAATCTATTTTTCATCTTGTTGGGCTGTAATTTAGAGCTGACCAAATTGTATCTTTCCTTGTCCTCTAAGAGAACAGACATTTTAAATAACTTTTACCTGTGAATGGTATTTCCCCAGAAGAGAGCCTGGTTCCGAGTATGTTACCTTCTGACTGTAACCACCTGCCAAAACAAAACTTCTTTCAACTCTCCTTTAGAAATATGATTCCTCTTCTGCTGTAGCACTGCAGGCCTTGACAGTAAAAATTCTTACATTTTCAGTTACCACTTAAAAACCTCGTTGTTGCTTTCATAGTTCTCAGTTTCTTTTGTATCACTGTGGTGATGTTCATAGCTGGGTTCAAACTGGAAGTTCACGCTCCAGTAGGGGCAACACTCACACTCCTCAACTTAATGCTGCCAAGCCACATTACTGCACACTACTTGATGGTGTGTGTGGTATGTATAAGTATGATGCATATTACTGATTTATTCCAAATATAGGATAATAAAATTTATGGACATTGACAGGATTATCTTGCTTCAGTAGGTGAAAAAAAAACTAACAGCCTACCTTCATCTTTTAATTCTGTCCCTTTGCACTGGTTGGTATCTAAGTGTGAACCACTTTATGAGCACTGATGGATGTAACAGTGAAGTAAGGTGTCTTCTTCTGCTGTTTCTGCTGTGGGGGCAGTAGCCCCACATAATCTTCAGTCCCTGCACCTGAAGTTCTGCCAAAGCTCATCCGTCAGTGCTATTTGCTTATCCCTCTTCCCTTGTCGATTAAGAGCATGCCATCAAAAGTAGCTGAGTTACTCAGTTTTGCAAGGACTGCTTGACAGCTAAAGCATCATAGAACCACAGAATGCCAGGTTTGAAGAGACCTGAAGGATCATCTGGTTCAACCTATCTTGGCAAAAGCACAGTCTAGACAAGATGTCACAGCATCCTTTCCTGCTGAATCTTAAAATTGTCCAGCTTTGGGGAAGTGCCACTTCCTGGGTGAGAATATTCTAATGGCTGGTTGTTGTTATTGTGAAAAATTTTCCTCTTGTGTCCAACCAGAATCTCCCTGGGAGTAACTTGTGCCCATTGCCCTTTGTCTTTTCTGTATGACTCCTTGTAAAAAGGGTGTCTTCATCTTCTTTGTAGCCACCCTTTAAATACTGGAACATGGCGATTAGGTCTCCCCTGAGTGTTATTTTGTCAAGGCTGAACGAACCCAGTTCTCTAAGCCTTTCCTCATATGGCAGGCTTCCCAGTCCTTGGATCACCTCTGTGACCTTAGCTGCCCATGTGCCTGCTGTTAGCCCATCTCACCTCAAGGATGGTTTTAAACTAATGCATTTAACTTTGCAGCAAGTAGAAAGACCTTGCAGCCATGCTACTACAATTCAAATGCTCAACAGTATGTTAAGTCACAGTAACATGGTACTGATAGTAAGCCCTGGTTTGTTCATGCCTGCTCAAGAATGACAGCAGTGACTTTCTGTTTAGAAAAATACCACTTACAGGCTGTGGTAGCACTGTGCAAGCTGGACAGCATGTCAGAACGGGCAGAAACACCTAAGGCTTTACATTTAGAAGGCAATTGTTGCCACAATCGTTGTTCATTATTTCTTTTATAATGAATTACCTAGACTGTAAAGCTGTCAAGACAGGAAGCAGCCTTTTGTACATGGATTACTGTGGTAGAGAACTCCAGGACCAGTGAGAAAATAATAATAATGTTCAGTCCCTAAACAGGCTAGGCTGTATATCATACAGACTTTCTTTCAGAATTCCTCTCTACAAGGCATTTTAATTCTCATATTAAAAAAAAAAAAAAAAAGTTTAGAAGAAGGGCATAATAAAAAGGAGACAAGGCTGTTTCACAATCCTATTTATTCATTTTTCATTCACTGAAGGAGCCAAGCAGACCAGCCCTGATTCACCACCTCTAGGGAAGCTCTTAAATGCTTCATAAATTTTTCAGCTGCACCTACCTAATGATCAGATCCCATTTATTAACCTTCCCTGTAAATTTATAAGCTGCATTTGCCCTATATTTTTATTAAATAACAATATAAATTATGATAGTGGTATGCCCTGAAGCAACCACAAGACATGATCACATTGAGTTTTGCTTTTGATAACTATCACTGTGCAGTTAACATTTGTTACTATTGTAGATTCTGAATACGGGTCTCTTTATTTACATTTATATAATTGAATGTAGCGTACCAAAACACATCTGAGAAAAGCTTTATTCACTATTGCAGTAAAACAGGGCAGCTCCAACACAGACTTCTGGTTCCAGTGCTTGGGGAAGCAGTATGCAACTTCAGAGGCATAGATTAAAGCCTGAGATAATTAGTGAAATGTTCATCCAAACTGTGGCACTTACTGCTACAGGTATTGCACAGGTGAAAAATATTAAGGGGGTGAGATGAAAAATGTTTTTAATGTATTTGTAAAGGTTTGGTCCATTGGTGACTGCTAGTCTTTACTGACAACCTGAGGAAACAGGCTGGGGGCTGGACAGTTGTTATTAGCCTGAGTTCTGTGGTTGATGTCTGCATTTCTGAGCAGCTGCAAACTCAGAAGCTGTGGGCACAGACCTTCAGTAAAACACCTGGACACATCTCAACACACAGAAAGTGTATCATTCCTCCCAAATTACAAGCATTCAATTACAAGAAGGTGTTTCCTTTCCCCAGCAGTAACCAAGTTTGCAGAGTGTTTGTCTTTGCTTTCAGTCTTATTTTCCTCATGTTTATCTCCTGTGCATTGCTTTTTCTGTCCAGCACCACTCACAATTGCCCTAACAAAACTTGTGTTGTTGGAGGAATCAGTTGCCATTCTGCACAGACCAGCACCACTGTTGCTTGCTTTTGTATGCATGTGCCTTTTTTTTTTTCAGCCATGTAAAACTTTTTGTCCTCAGCACAGGATCTTTATCAGTATCCTTCAACCCATTCCCATTTTACAGATTTCTGCAAGAGCTCTAAGTTTCCAGGCTACACAGCAAAGAAGTCAATATTCCTGGATTCCCTCACTGCTGTCCTCATTTCCACTCCGTGCTTAATTTGCTGCTGGGTGATGCAAAGAGGGAGACAAACTACACATACTTGTCCTGAGGCTCAGAGTGGGTTCGGTGTGCTACTCACCTTGATGTCATGTGTGTGAAGCTTTTCATCAAAGTACCAAAGCCCTCCCTGAACTCCAGCCTCTTGTGCAACAATATAATAGGACAGTGCACTGATGGGACCAGTAAATCCTATATGTAACAGAGGAAATAATGTATTGACCTGCTGAGGGATTTACATACCTCTAAAGACTGATAGCAAGCCCTGCCTGTAAGGCTAACTTGTTCTACTTTCCATTTCCAGTAGTCACTATCCCATCTTTCCAAATGAATGATTCAGATAGAAATGTATATAGATTTAAGAACTGTCCTAATTGGGTATATTCTTGTATCCAGGATGTTGATAATATTTATTCAGTGCCACACCTTTTTATAAGACTAAGAGAGTTTGCTTCTCTGCTTGCTTTTAATACACAGTGCCTGTGGCTGTGCTGCTAAAAAGCATGATTATGGATTTCCCAAAGGCATGCAGAGAAACAGGAAGCTAGCTTTTTTAAGTGATCCCTCTGATCTTTCATTAGTAATCATTTAATTTACAGTAGCATCTCACATTACAAATGCTTGGCTGGCTCTCTTTGTCTATGAGCTCTCAGGGGTCAAAGAGGCCCACAGAAGAATTTCTGGAGCATGGTCCCTGGAGGACAGCAGGGCTGAGGTCTCTCTCTTCCCCTTCTGCAAACATGGCATTATATCTCCAGGGCAACCTGAATTCTGGCAGTCATGGGAGCAAGGACACAGCATGGATTTCCATTTGATTCCTGCAACAGAAAAGAGATCTGAGACCAAAATCAATATATGACTAAAATATGAGAGTTCATTTTCACAGTTGATTTTGTCTAAGGGTTCGTTTCCTCTCTTCTTGTGCAAATATAATTCACAACTTGCTAACTACTCCATTTGTTTTTCTGGTGTTTCCTCTTCTACACTTAGTGAAGGCCTAAACATCTGAAATAAATTATTGCAGCTTAAAAATTTGAGGTCTACATACCCTAAAATCAAACAAGCATTTTATAAGGAGGCTGAAAGCAATGTTTGCATTTCAAGATCTATAACTTAACTATTACTCATGTGATGCAAATATTTTAGGCAGCAATTCATAATTCTGGTCAGATGTTTCAGTTCAAAGGGATTTTATCAATGGCAACTATAGAAAACCCTGCCTATCTGAAATAAATATCTGAGCATTTCTCTTTGAGGCACTGAGCTCTACCCTAAGGGAATATTCAAACATACATTGCTTCTAAAGGAAAATGTATTGGTTCTGCTTTGGTTTTCTTTGTTTGAAAGCTGTAAGCTTGATTTTCCTGCACAAGAATGAATCACGGAAAACTCAGTTGTGACAATAAAGTTGTGACAGGTGGCTCAAACCCTTTTGGCTGGTTTTAATAGGTGCTTTTAGTAAGTGCTTCATAAAATTAGCATTAAATAAAATGGGGTTATGCAGGCAATTTTGTTCTGACTTTCTGCTGTCTGTCTTCTTCATATCATTCCTTCAAAAAGCTTTCAGAACATGAAAGGTGAACAGAGCAAGATGCTCGTTAGAGAGGCTTCTTTAGGCTTGTGGATGTTTGTTGCTATATTTGATGCTTAGATCTTTCTCAGTTCCCTCAATTACCATGCAACTTTGATCCTTAAGTTCCCCAAGCACTGAAACTTCCTAGGTCACATAACTCCATGCTAGCTATGGCAGAAAAACAAGCGTAGACTTGATGGTATCATTTCTTCAGCCTATCTGATGCTGCCACAAATGACATTATGATAAAATATCACATCACAACGTCGAGATATTGGGAGAAAAATTTCCTGAGCAGCCCTTCATTTGCTTGAGATTTTAGGGACTATAAGTCAGTAGCTTTTTTTTTTTTTTTTTGCTTTTCTCAAACTGGGGAAGTTAAAGATAACTTTGCATGCTCTTCTTATCTAGCACATCTTCATCAGAGCAACATGGGTCAGGTTTTAGAGTCTTGTCCATTGTACAATTATATTGCTGTAATTTCCTTTAAGAATGTCTCCTTAAGAATAGACTTGACTGCATATGCATTGGCCAGGAAATGCAAAACGCGGCTGACTTCTCTTCATTATTTTTGTGTGACTATTTAACATAAAGTCTGTCAGAAAAGGCAGGCACCATAACATGGGAAAATCAGGCTGCTTGAGCTAAAATGTTCTCATAGGAGAAAGGGTAAGGATTCAGACCAAGCTAATGGCTAGTTTCAACATTTTTGTGATGACACGTTTCAATCTGTCTTTTGGAACAACTCCTCATTTCCTGTTTTGAATATTAAGAGCAATCTGAAATAAAGCATTTAAAACTGAAGAAGTGCCATCACAAATTAAAACAAATATTGAAATCTCAATTCATGCTGAAAAGAGAGTCTGTCTTCCACCAGGCTCATCTTTCTATTTATGTATATCTATCTGCATGAGCTAATCCTCTTATTTCTTCAGTAAATATTTCCTCTGTAGATTGTAGATTGTTATGTTCCCTTCAGTAAATGTTTAGCTAAGTTAGCTAAGTTCTACATGCAACATTTAGCTCCACTAGTCTTTCCTAAGATGATCTGCCCAGCTCTTAGTTCTCTAAATTCTGCCCTGTTAATGGCCATTTGGTGATAATCAGTTTTCACTTACATGCTCTTTTAAAAGGAGAGTGACATTTGAACTTTGTAGAGGGACCATTTTTCTGGTAGGCTCACAAAGTTGTGCTTCTTGGTACAAACGAAGCTTGAAGCAGCCTTAACTAAATAATGTTGATGTCCCTCAATTCCCTCCTTTTCAACAGTCATAGTCTATTGCACTTCAATTAGGATCTGTTTTAGGCTTCCTAGCTGTAAATCACAATCCATCACAATGTTCCATAAGCAATCTTCATGATGGAGGCTCAAAACAGAAAGTGAAAAATAGTTGGTATGTTTGAGGCTGACACAAGATTTATGGTAGGAGAACATTTTTAACCTAAGCAAAAACTTTTTAAAAGTCTGATGTTGGAAAACTGACACAAGGAAACTAAAACGCAAAAATAATTCCACAGCTTTTGCGGGGTGTGGGTGGGGGGAAGGTTTAACAATGTGTGAAACTGAATATTCATCCCTTAAATTATATCCACCATAGGACTGAGTGCTTTTGTATGTAATGATTTATCCCCAGTAAACTGGGCTAAGGCTGAAATAAAAGAGTGAGGTTTTTGCTGAGGCTGTTTGCCCGCTGTAATGAATGATACCAGAAAGGGGGGATACAGCCACATTCCTTTTAGCAAATGAGTTAAAGAGTGCTCAGGCTAATGATGAACCATTTTCTACTGAGCCAATATCTGAGACTGAAAAAACAGCCAGTCATTCCTTGTCTCTGCATCTGTCTTGGAGGCTGTTATAAGCAAACAGAAGCAGGGAACAGAAATCTCCTTTGCGATGCAGCTAGCCTGAAACAGATACCCATGGTGAGGCACTGTTGGATAGAAGAGACAGAAAAAGACAGCACCATGATGATGAAGACATTTCTACACCTGCTCATTAAAGATCTAGTGCAAGAGTTTATCCATGTGGAAACATGGCCCCCTACCATATTGTCTGAGTAGTGCTGCCAAGCATAATCCTATGTGTAGTTATTTGCCACAGTTGCTAAAGCTATCAAGGTTATTTGTGTGGTCAGGATTTTTCTCCAGAACCTGTAAAGGTTGGAGTATTGAATGCTTATGGACATGTTCCAGTTCTCCTCTCTCTTCATTCCTAATTTAAACCCTGCTATAGGCATATCATGTACTCACAAGCTTCAAATCTATGAAAACAGTGGGAGCACCAAAGTTAATTGTGTGGAGACAGATAACCACTACATATGTTATGTACATGCAGGACTCTGGGACCTCGCTGAGTCCAGAATAATTCCAGTGAGGGGCAAATCTGCCCTCGCCCACTGCAGATGTATTTCTGAACTGAAACTATGGAAGAGAAGCTGCTTTTTGAAATTTCACTCAGCTTGGCTAACAGCCCAACTCTGCAGACTTGGAAGATTTTCTATCATAATATTTCTCTGAAGCTAGCTGTGAGAATAAATGGCATGAGGTATGTTTGGCTCAAGAGCTGAGAGTTTCAAATTTTTCAAGAATCTTGTCTTGTTTGTTATGGAGCAAATCCCAAACTTCTTGCTTAGAAGTCCAAGCTCCCTGCTGCTATGGGGCCCCATCTGAACAGCTTGGCTGAAAGGGAGCAGCACTCTTCTGTGTGAATACTTACATTAACATTTCTATTCTCAACCATACTAATTATTACAGCAGAAATAATTTCACAGTGGACAAGGCAGATTGACCTCCTGGTCAGTCCTGGGTGGGCAGACAGGATGAGGGTGCTAAATATGGTGAAACTACTCCTTACTTGTATGGCAGCCATCTAAGACTCTGAGCAAGGCTGTGGTGCTGGGAAGAGACAGATCATGAAGAGGAATAAGCCTATTATTTTGGGTTCTGCTAGAAACACATGGAATAGGTCAAAGAAGACTTTTTTGCACACTACCTACTGTATATTTTGCTCCAGTCTGCCCAATGGGAATTTACTGAGCATCATGAGTACTATTTCTTTTGGCGCAATAGTTATTTCTGATACTCTTGATCCTACCTAGCCCCTGGAGGGAGGCTCAGACATATTGGTACAAGTAGATCCTTCAGTATTTGGAGTGATCAGTTGAATATCCTGTTATTACTGCACTTCTCATAAGAAAGCATGAAGAGAAACTTCTCATCTGTGAATTTACTGTGGTTTTATTATTCTGTGTGGGTAATGCCACTATTTGGGACAGTAGTGCTATGAACATAGCTGACAAGATGGTCAACTATGAAGACATAGCACAAAGATCTGAAGGCATCCTCTTCTAGATAGTAAAATCTGTAGACCAAGAGACCTGTAGGGCTGTGCCAAACTTTCAGGCCGTGAAAGCACCATCCCAAAATTTTGGAGCTGTGACACTCATACCAGATGTTCTCAAAGCTGGGGAAGGAGAGGGGGAGATTTCTAGGAGACATCCAAAGAACAAAAATCCCATGGCTTTGACTAAGATATATTTGGGTGGCAACTGCAGCTGAGTTTGGGGTCATATAGGGAACCCCAAAAGCACAACATCTGCAATGAAAAAGCAACCCCTTTTCTTTAAGTTGTGGGTCACAGAGTTGTTCTGGGAGCTATGATGTAATGCCCTGTCATATTTTAAGACTGGCTCTGGCTGCTATTAGAAGGCCTGTTGTGTGAAGTGCACACTTTTTTAAGGAATAGGAATGTCAGAACACATTTTTGGTCTAGCAGGAAGCATGCTATAAAATATTTCTTCTGTAAGGAGTCAAAATTTCCAGGCATAGGTAAGGCCCTTTGTTTCAATAAAAATCAGTTGTTGCAGTAATGTAGTAAATACATTCTGAGTTACCGCTTTAGCAAAACCAACTTTGACCATTTTGTTCTCAAATTCTGTCGGAGTACGCAGTTTCTACAGACCATCTCAGGAAATTTTGGCCTGTTTCCTACTTCCTGCCTTATCCACTGTGGGAAACAGCATTTTTATTCTCATTTATTTATGAAATGAGCAGAGGGAACAATTTGAAATTGTTGTAGCATTTTTTTTCTCCTGTTTGCAGATTGCAGTTTTCATAGGTGTGTTTTGAGTTGGACAGTAGTTAAAGTTTTCAGCTTTGAGGACATAAGTACAAACAAATGTTTTGTGGAGGTCATTGTTTGTGTTTCAGATTTACTGGTCCGCTGTGATTCATCAGATTAGCCCTTCGATTGGAGGAGTGAGAGTTACCTTTTCCCATGCATAACTGCTTGGAACTGGAAGCGTAGTTATGGTCAAAATCCTCTTGATGGGAGAATAAGTGCCAACAAAAAATGAATAAAAACTTGTGAAAACAAGAATATAAAAGGTAAAACCATTACCAAAGAGAGTGTTGAAGTGAACAGTCCCAGATAACTTTGAGTAGAAAATTCACTTTTTATAGAGAGTGCATCTACCTCCTGTAAAAACAGGAGGAGTATGGAAGCATTGTTAGCCAAAGCCTAGTGGTGGTCTGAGGACCTCACAGAAGAAGGGCAGTGCTCTGCCTTGTTCCAGTGTGGGTTTGCACAAAGCATAAAGACCACAGAATGCAAAGGGCCATCTCCTTTCTCCCTCCGTGCAAAGCCTCATCTTACTAAGAAGAAGTGGAAGACAGCACTAGTAGTACACCTAATCCAAAAAGTGTTGGGGGTAAAATGTATTCTGGTTAAACTTGGAGGGCAGCATACACTCTCTTAAGGTACCCCAGCTTGTCCAGTGCTGCCTCCTCCTGCAGGAAACACAGAAACTCAGTGAGACTTCTTGGGTAGGTGGTGCAATGAGACTTCTTGGGTAGGTGGTGCAAATGTGGCAGTATTTTTACTAAATGGGAAAAAATGGAACTATATTGGACTAAAGGCTGGTAGTTTACCTCAAAGCTTTATA